CTGTAAAATTTAACCTATAATTCCTAAAATATGGCCTAAAATTTGGCTCAGAAATCACACAATAATTGTATAAATTCAGGTCAAAAATAGGATAATTATTGAATGAATTACCATGCAATAATTGTGTGATTTATTGCAATTTTTAGCACAATTATTGTATGGTCAAATTTACAGAAATCGTAGTGAATTTAATTGAATGATTTTTCAACAAAAATCACACAGACTTTTTTCATAGGGCTGCCCCTGTATATATATTTCTGGGTCTTGGTCTAATATTTTAAATGTATATTTTTGTATACAGAATTAGAACCATCATATTATTAAATAACGAAAATACACAATTAAATGTAATTTATTGAATTTAAAATAAATCAGGAAAATCATTTTTATTACAGACTCTAATTTTTAGCATCATATATAATATTTGATTTTACAAATATAATTTATTAAAAAATTCATATTTAGGTATAGTTATTTAAATTGCGTGATACTGGTTAAATTTTAGTTGCTTAAATGATGTAGTAGTAATAGATTTTATTATTGGAGGGTAGGTTTGATGGGCAGTTTTAAAAAATAATTTAGTTTACTGATTCTTTGCATATTTATTATATTTTCTGTAACGATCTTTCGTCATAAATAAAAAAAATCAGAAATTGAAATTGAAATTTGAATAGTAATAAATTATAATGATATCAGCAATAATAAATTTATACTGTATATAGGTCAGTTTTATGCATTCTCTTATAATAGATACAGATGATGGATAAATTTATCCTGAAAGTATCAATTTTCTTTTAGGATTTGATTATTTAAGCATAAAATTTGTAACATGTAATCGATTCTATCTGTTTTCTTGAGCAAAGAAAAAAAATTAACGATTTTTACAATGACAATTAAAAAAAATGTTAACAAAAAGTTTATAAAGCGAGGACGTCAATAAAACTGTTATTAATTAAAAAAAAAAAATCCGGTTTGAGACAAAAAAAATTTTTTAGCCATAAAGTTTAATTCAAAAAAATAATAATAATAATAACAGGCTTATGAAAAAAGTGCGCTTCAAATTTATGAAGTTAATTTTAGTATGACAAATAAGAGAGACTTGTATATTTATTCAGTATATTGATTCCGAAACTCATACGATGCATTAACATCATTCAATAAATTAATTACAATAAATTATGACGCTTGTTTTACAAGTTTTTCAATAAACTCGGTAACAGGTTTAGGAGTAAAACTGAATTTATCATTATCTAATTCTAGATTAACCTCCCCTTCTTGTAAAAGGACAGCCTTGTAATAATCCAAGAATTGGGGAACTGGTTCAATCTTGTTTTTGTATCGATGTCTTACATCTTTATCCACAATTACTTCCCATTTTGAACCTTCATAAACCATCATAATTAATTACTATAAAAATTCATAATTTAATAACGATTAAATAAAATATTTACTCACCAGAAGCCTTTTCAAATATTTCAAGGTACTCATTTAATGACAGGAATGAGCCAGCAATATTAATACGAGCGTTACGAGCCTCTGGTATTTTAAGTGTCTCTACGGTATATTTTCCAATATCATTCAAAGAAGTAGTGGGAATTTTTTCGTTAGCATCAACATAGAAAGTAGCTTTCTTATTTTTAATATCGAATCCCAACCAATCAAAGAATTCTTGAAATATTCAGACTTCGATATATGTGTACTCAAGTCCACTTTTTTCTAATTCTTCTCTAAATTTATCTTTATCGTCTATGATAAAATGATCTCCAGATCTTTGTTAAATAAAAAGAAAAATCAACAAAAAAAAAAAATAAGAAAAAAATCATACTTAAATCTTCCAGTAAATTCAGATGGGATGAACCTCTTCACAGAGGCATCCTTGGCAGCGGCTAACAGTGGAGCTTGAGAATTATAAAAGCTCTCAGTTTTAGGATCAGAATTTACAGCACTGACGATAACATCTGTTCCTTTAATAGCTTTGACAAGATCATCGTTTTGACTATAATCCGCATATATAATTTCTGCACCCTTGGAAGCCAGCAGCTTAGCTTTTTCATTTTCTTTTTCTGGTTTCTTTCGAAGAATCTTCACGTTATAAGATCCATCATTCAAAAATGCCTCGGCAATAACATAACCCAAATCACCGTACCTCCTGCTACTGTATGGTTACAGTTTTAAATGGTGAGTGACTCATGATGTGATGAAATTTTTTTTTAAAAAAAAGAAGTTTAAAATTATCTGATAGTTTCTTTTCGTTAAATCCACCTTATTTATACTTTGTAAATCAAAAATTTATTAATATTTGATTATATATATCCTAAATTGATATTGTTTGTTAAACAAATTACCAAAAACAAAGAGATGATATATGAATATTCGACATTTCTCATTGTCCTGAATATTCATGCAAAGTCTCATCATTCGTCAATCAAAAAAAATCAATTAGTAAGAAAAAGATTTTAATATTAAACATAATTAGATAATAAATACAACTCATTATACCAAATAGAGTTACTGTAATACAGTAAATATCTTTTTTAAATGATTTTTATTAATTTATAAGAAATTCGAATCAGAATATTCCATAAAAATTACATTTTACAAACGATTTGATGTTATACAAGATCATCCATGTACATTCATTTCTATGGTATAATGTTCACAATGTTTATTTTTTTTTTATCCCTACATGAAATTTCATCTTTGAAAACGTTAACTTTCTTATTTATATTATTAAATTAAACAAATTCTGTAAAGATTTGTTAAAAAATCTGAAATTCCTAAATATTTCTTCATATTTTTTAGTTAGTATAAAAATAGATCCTCGATTATGTAAGAAAAATTTCTAATTTTCTAGAATTCTAGAATTGGTTTTCATAAATTTCATTATTATTGTCATTGAAATCAAATAAAGGTATAATTATTTTTCCGGAATGGTGAAATTTACTATAACAAGATTATTTAAACATTCATGGTAAAATAAAAAGAACTATAGCCGTGTGACACAGACGCAGATCACAATTTTATGAAACTAAATCACGAGATTTCTCTTCTCTTTTTTTTTTTTAATTTCCGTTTGTCTCCAACCAAGTCAACGATTAAGAAAGGCGTAACTCCGCGATAGTCCTTCGGAAAGGTCGTCAAAAAAAGGTCAAGGTTGAGAGAACATGAAAAGAAAAAAGATCTCAAAAGCCGAATTATTATGAAATCACGTGATGGTAGCCAATAGAAATACGCACTGCGCTATTCAAGCGATTTAATAATAATAAATATTTACTATAATTTAATGTGAAAATATGTATTTAAAATAATAATACAAATACTTGAAATAATACATACATTTTAAAACTATTATTTTTGTTAAAATTATTTTGTAAATTTGTAATACTATTGGAAAAATATAAATAATTTTTTATTAATCACAGATAATTTGGAATAATTTTGTACACAAAGCGGACAGTTTAATAATTTTATTATTTTGCATTGTATTAAATAAACTTGATTATAATCTAAGAAATTTTAGACTATGGAAACAAAAAAATAGTTCTTATTACTATGAATCGATATTAAAGATAACTAATCACGTAATCTGTTGAAAAATATATAAAAATTTTTACCAGCTCACCAGCATTATCCATAAACGGCAAGAACTACAATATCATTCTACGTCTGTACACCAAACAATTAACACAATCTGTTACCCCTTAAATTTTATAAATTTTATTCCAATTGGTAAGGAACAATAAAAAAAAACAATAGCAAAAAAAAATCCTTTTCTATTGGCATTAATTATTAGTAAAATAATTAATATATTAATAAAGAAAAAATCTATTTAACAATAAGAAAAAGATCGTAAAATCAAAAATAAATGATTTTTTGACTCCGAAAGAAAGATTGAACATAAAAAAAACAATTAAAAAAGAAATTTTAATTTTAGTAACCGAAAATGAAAACTAATTAAAAAAAAAAAAATCTATTTCGATTTGAACCGAAAAAAAATAAAAAAAAAAATGATTAAAAAAAATTATTTTCAGTATTAAAAAACCAAAAATAAAAAAATAATTAAAAAATTTTTCCAGCTTTTAAAAAGAAACTGACAAAATAAAAATAGAAAGTATAAAATTTCAGAAAATTTTCATTCTATGAATTAAAAAATTTCATTAACCGGAATAAATCATTTTGACTTTATTTTTTTTATTTTATTTTTCAGTTGTAGACAAAAATCATTTTGACCATAATATAAATACGGGCGCATGCATATCATATTACGGCACGGGTTTTCATATTACATAATTCAAATTATTTATATGGAGACTATTCTAAATTTCATATAAATTATGAAAGTAGTTGTAGATAAAGATGTAAGAAATCGATGCCAAAACAAGATTGAACCAGTTCCCTTATTCTATTAAATCATGATAAATTTAGTTTTACTCCTGGACCTGTTAGAACTTGTAAAACAAACGTTGTAATTTATCGTATTATTAAATTTAATCAATTTATTTGTTTCCTCAAAAATAAGGGAATAATGTTGATGCATTATAAAAATTATAAAAGCTCCTCCCATTTTGTCAGTAAATCTGGATCATATTTTGTAGTTCATACTTCGAGTTGTATATTTTAAAGTTTTCCAAGGAATATTTTGGTAAATAAAAAATGGTGATAATATTCTTAGTTATATTACCTACCATAAATTTACGAATTAAAAATAATATAAATTGTTTTCATCCTATTATTTATTTATTAGGAAATTTTAACAGATGATACAATATAAAATTAGAGGGTCTCGTAATAATATAATATAAATATTTTTTTATTTATTACATGTGCGAGTTAAGTACACAGTGAAATTCGATAAACCGGATCTATCGGTTCCACTAAAAATATCCGGTTTATCGGGATATCCGGTTTAGCGAAAAAATTTCGATATATTGAAAATCTATTGTATTGAATTTGTAAAAAATTTTCATGCTAATAAAACTAATATACACTATAATTTGATTTTTTCATCTAGTTTTAAGTTATAGAGGTCATGAAAATGAATATAAAATATTTTAATTGAATATATAAGTAATACTTAACTTCAGCCGGAATTAAGATTTTTATAATTCCGGCCAAATTTAAGATTTACCGAATCACGTTACTTAAATTTTATTGGTTACAAGTCACGTGATCCGGTTCATCGAATCATTTTTACTATAGCTGGTTAAAAAATTGATCCGTTATAGCGAATATCGAGCTTTTACTAGTAAACTCCGGTATATCGAGCCTATTTTAATATACGTGATTTGGTTCCAGCAAAAAAGTCCGGTTTAGGCCTAAATCCGGTTTATCAAATATCCGGTTTATCGAATTTCACTGTGTATATTTTTTAAAAGTATAATAAATGACGAATGTTACCCCATTTACTACTAGTTTAATAACGAAGAAGGTTTCCCAAATTTGTAAACCAAGTTAATAAATAGGAGTATAATCTAATTCGGCTTTAAAAAGTTACATTTCACCTATCAATAAAATTAACAAAATTTTTTTGTAATTTAAAACACTTTTATAATAGTGTGACGATCTATATTTGAATTGTCAATCCTACCATGACAATTTTGGTTAAGATAATTCCTTTTTATCTTCATTGATTCATTGAATATCCGAATTTAGTTAAATATAAAAGTAACGCCAATTTTTTTTTTTTTTTTTGCAACGTAAAATTCTTTGAAACAAACTTATTTACTTCTAACAGAATTTATATTATAAAAATGAGCTTTAGTAATGAAAATCAATTAGTATCTGAATTTGATATATTAAATATTTCTGATAAAGATTCTAATCCCGTAAAAATTAATCATGAAAATTGTTACGACCCAGATAATTATATATTTTGGTGTGAAGAATGTGTTCCTCGTTGCATAATTGAAGGATGGACCAGTGGAAATGATGATATTGATAATTTTATCAAGGATTCGATTTATAACATAAGGAAAAGCTATGATTATCCAATATTTCTTGAATGGGTTCCATTTGATAGATTTGAAGATATGAAACAAATAGGTGAAGGTGGATTTGCAAAAGTGTATTCTGCGACTTGGATCGATGGTATGGCAAAATACATTAAACAAGATGACGGAAATTGGATAAAAGAAGAACCTGAACCCATACAAGTTGCTTTGAAACGGCTAAATGGATCACAGAATATGTCATCTGATCTTTTAAATGAGGTATTTTTTTTAACATGTACTTATTTTAATTTTAAAAAACATTAAAATTTATTTAATTTATTTTAATTTAAATAATAATAGCTTAAAACGCATTGGAAATTAAATTGCTTACAAGGTAATTCTTTAAAATTTTATGGAATAACCAAAGATCCAGAAACTGAAGAAATTATGATAATTATACAATATGCAAATAATGGAAATTTGAGAAATTTTCTTTCAAGTAATTTTAATAAAATTTTATGGGATGAGAAAATAACTTATTTACAATGTTCAGCACTAGACCTTAAATACTTACATGAATTAGGATATTTTCATAAAGATTTTCATAGTGGAAATATATTAAATATTAGGGGTTATTCTTATATTTCAGATTTTGGATTATCTAGACCATCAAATGAACAGAAATCATCAGATAGTAATAAAATAGTTGGTGTGTTGCCATATATTGCTCCAGAAGTTTTAAATGGAGAACCATATACATTATCTTCTGACATTTATAGCTTTGGTGTAGTTATGACTGAATTATCATCTGGAAAACCTCCTTTTTATAAAAGAAAACATGATGGTGGCTTAGCATTAGAAATATGTAATGGACTCAGACCAGAATTTGGAAAAGGAACTCCTGAAATTTATAAGAAATTAGCTCATAGATGTATGAATGCTAATCCAAATCAAAGACCAATAGCCAATGAATTAGAAGAAATATTAAATTGTTGGGATAATTATAAAGATAATGAAAAATATGGATATAAAGGAGAAGAAGTTAAAGCTGTATTTGAAGAAGCTGATAAAGAAATACCAAATATTTCAACCTCATATGAAAAAAAACCTGATGCTATTTATACTAGTAGAGCATTTACATTCAGTAATTTGTCAAAACCCATTAATTCATCTTTTATTGCTACTACATATCTTAATGAAGAAGATAATGAAGGTACATTTTACTATATTATATTTTTTAAATTTTATAAAATAATTAAGATAATGTTTAATTTTATTTATTATGATAGGTTGTCAAGATTCTCAATTAGTTGACTTAGAGGTTCCTAATACATCAAAATTAGAAGGTAAATATAATCAACTATATATTTATGATATTAATTTTATGATATAAAATAAAATGTACTAATGTTTTATTAATTTTTAATAATAGAAGACAATAGTGATAACTAAATAATTTATATTCACAATTTTTTTTTTTTTAAAAAATTATTTAGTATATTTATTTTATAGCCTAAACTATATTTTATTATATGATGGTTTTACATAAGAAACTTTTAAAGGAATATTACGATTAAATTTTTATTAAAAATTATTAAGAGTATTCACAATTATTGGAATAAGTTACGTAATTTTTTATCGTCCAAAGCAAAATTAAGGTCTTTATAATGATAGTGAAAAACGGAGGTCACTCAGCATGTTAAATTATAAAGTAAAATAATAAAATAAATAAATTTTTATTTTCTGATTTAAAAATAAATAAAAAATAAAATCTTCTTTGCATAATGGAAAATATATTGTAGAAGACACTTAAAATGCTAGAGGCTCATACCGCTCATATTAATGTTATTGCTGGCACGTTCCTATCATTAAAATTGATTGCCTTGAAATATTTGAAAAGGTTTCTGATGAGTACATATTTTATTTTATTGTTATTTAAATTATGAATTTTTATAGTAGCTAACTAGCAGTCGCCCGTTGCTTCGCACTAGGATCAATGGACTTAAGCTATACAATAAATTAATATATAATTTTAGTGATTATATACTAGTATTTATATTTATTCTAAATATTAAAAGATTATAATTCATTAAAACATAACAATATATATTTATTTCAATTATTTCGCAGCAATGATCTCGATCCAAACCTAAGAGATGAAAGGAACAAAAAAAAAAAAATTATTAAGGGGAAAGCATTAGTAATAGGAAAAAAGAAAGTGCCCCTGCAGCATCAATCTAATCATCGATCCAAACCTAGAATGGAATAAACCACATTTTTTCGGGTTGAAAAAAAACCAAGTGAAAAAAAAAATTTCAATTTGAAAAAGAAAACTGAAAAAGGAAAATTAATATTTGAAAAAAAAAAATTTAAGTTGAGAAAAAACCAAAAAAAAAAATTTGAAAAAATCGGTTTTGAAAAAAAAAAGAATAAAAAGCCGATAAAATTGATAAAATTTCTAAGAAGTTAAAATTTCATTAAATTAGCCCATCGGAATGTGCACATGACCTCAGCCCTTTTTAAAAAATTGGTTCTTGTTCACTTTGTGATTTTTTTAGGCACTCATTGAGTAATTCATGAGTATATTCTTCACTTTTCCATTCATTTAAGCATAACCAATCCCGTTGGCATTTCCGTTCAGTTTCACATTTTTGATCACGTTGACAACTCCATTTTATTTAACCATTTTATGTTGTATTGTTGTTGACATCTACATAATCTATCCTCACATTGCCACTTGTTTTTATTTGTCAATAGATCTTTACATTTCCAATCACATTTCTTTTTACATTTACACTCTTTGTTTCTACTACGTTGGAACATACACCACAGACCATTTACATTTAGGATCATGTTGACATTTCCATTTATGTCCATTTTACATCGTAGTTCGTGACGGCATTTCCAATGATCGATTATTATCGATCAGATGACGAACGATTTCGTAATCTTTAACGAAAAGTAAATTACATTTCGTAAAAATGAATGAATACACTTTTAATTACTAATATATAAAATATAAAATAAAATTAATACAAACCAAACACAATTCATCAACTCTGTATGTTCTGTAAGGTCTTCGCTTCAGCAAATGGAAACTCGAGATCTGACATTTATTGTGGGATTCCGAACAATTCTTCTAGAAAAAGTCTTTTTCTCTTTCTAGAGCATATTAAAATTTTCTAAAATTATTCGCATTAAAAGATTTTTCGCGCTCACTTGAGAATTCACATGACCAAATGGCACACACTTCGTATTTATTGTACCAGATTAGATATTTTAGGTAAAAGATGATTTTATTAACCTGTAAAGAACAATATTAAAATTCGATTTTTTTTTCACATTTTCTTTTTCTTTTTTTTTTTAAAAAAAAATTCTTTTTATTTTTCATTCATAAAGTTTGTAAAATATTCCCGATTGTAGTTTGTAAGATAATGTACTTCAGGAAATCTATTAAACAATAAAGATATCAGACAGTAAAATTGTGATTAAACTTCATTAACATGACATAAATTATACAGTATTTATCGTACATTAAAGATCCGATACATTTTATTACAATTTCGACAGTACATATAAAAATGGTTCGGATTTTTTTCTAGTTACTCTCTAAATGATTCCGGCAAACAAGTTATTGACTTTGAAGTGTCTGAACATAAACATGACCAACTAACAACCACACTGTCATATTCATTTTTTTGGGGATAGGTTTCTATACTTTTTGTAATCTACGAGAAAAAATATTATTATTAAATTTTATTTATATTATGATACGATAAAAAAAATTTTATTCTTGATTAACATTTTGTTCATTTATGAAATTTATAAATATTTTTCCTTTCCCTTAAGAAGATACATTAAATTATCAGGACATTTTTTTGGTTATCATAATTTGCAATCAACAAAAAAAAAAAAAAAAAAAATCTAATACTGTATGACAAAGTAAATATACTATTATTCGTATTCAGTTGAAAATATTATATTTTTCAAGTGTAAACTGGTCGTAAAGAAAAAAAAAACTACTGATATAAAAAAATTGGCTGAAAAAATTCATAAACTTTATAAACTTTAAAAAAAGGTTAAATTATGGTCTACACAGCAGTGTTTGGAGATGAACTGGTCATTTGACTTATTTTCGTATTTTCGTATGCATATTTATTTGGTATTTTGACATTTTTGTAATAGCAAGATCGAATTTCATTTGACATTTGAAACCTTTTGTAATATTATTTTCTTTTTTTATAAAATTTCTATAAAAATTTTTAAGTTAGTAGCGAAGTGATAATCACAATAACGTAAAATATGAAATTTAAGACGAGATGATCTTTTTGGGTAGATGATAATTTATTAATTTTTTTTTTTTGCAATTTCTTTAAATTTCTAATATATTTCTCTTTTATATTAAAGTTCTTTAATGAGTTGAAAGATGAAGATATAAACGTTAATCACGAGACTAAAAGCTCTGGTTCTATTCTGTTAACGGATGACGCAGTGTTAGTAGAAATTATCTGGGCGGAATTCTTCGATGTAGAATTACATTTAACAATCGAGACTTCCCAAAAACCCTTTTCTTCATGGCACTTTACTGATGTAAAAAGCTTTTTAAACTTGGAGGTGATAGCTGGGAACAATTGCCAACATACGAAGGCTCAACTATGAATTTCTCAGATTATAAGAAAACAATAGACGTTATTGTGGAAAGCCTATTGATGGTTCAAAAAACTTCTCCGAACGTAGCTACTGCTAATGAAGCGTCAAGGAGGGAATACATATCACCTATTCTTCACGGAGTGGCTTATTTTTTTCAAAATTCGATCAAAATATATCCTGAGCATGAATTAGTAGGAAGCTATGGACATGGACCTGTGGATTGGACGATCATGGTTAACAATAAGTATATTTTGATCACAGAAGCCAAAAAAGTGGACGTGGATCACGGGGTAGGGCAAAACATCATACAATTGCAGTCCGCCTTTCAGAAGAATCGAAAAAATAATCACGACTCTCCAAGTGTTTTATATGGTATTGATAATAACGATCGACCAATAGAAGTGTTCAAAAGTTCTTTAACACCAATCATTTTGCCTCTGTCTGAGCCAGGGTTAAATAAAGCTACTTTGACTCCTCGTGTAGAGGAACTTTTTGGACAATTACTATGGATATTTAATGAACAACTTAACTCCAGAGGAACTCTGAAGAGAAGCCACACATGAATAGTATTGAGCGTCTAAGTAGTTATATTTTTACTATAAAAATTGATGAAGTTTTGTTATAAAATATATTATTTCATAATAAAATATTCATTATTTTTAAATAATTTTCTTTTTCTATCTGACAAATCTAAAATCATTTCAGATTTTAGCAATACATACAATGGTTCGTCATTTATTTTTCAAAGTTATTAACCAATAATTTTTTGCAATTTTTTTTTTAGCCTTTAGTGCTAGATTATTATTCTTTATAAATACATAAAATAAATAAAATTTTGAGTCTGGCTGCCTGTAACAACCTTGGAAGATTGATGTAAAAAAAGTCAATGAAAATCAAGTTTTAGAAATGAAATATTTACAAAGTGAAATTCAATAAACTGGATTTATCGGTTCCACTAAAAATATCCGGTTTCTCGTATAGCGAAAAAATTTCCATATATTAAAACTATTATACTGGATTAAAATATTTTTAATTGAATATATAAGTAATATAGTATAATTTCAGCCAGAATTAAGATTTTTATAATTCAGGCCAAAATTAAGATTTACCGCATCACGTTGCTTAAATTATTGGTATATGATCACGTGCTACGATAAAAGAAAATTTGAGATTTTACTAGTAAACTCAAAAGTATTTCAATATACGTGATTTGGTTCCAGCAAAAAAATCCGGTTTAAGCCCGAATCTGGTTTATTGAAGATCGAATTTCACTGTGTATATTGTAATAAAAAGTAACAGTTTAATTTTTATAATAAGAGAAAAATTAGAAAGGTTGAGCATAGAAAAATAAAATTAATATTTTGAACAATTATAAAAACTGAAACTCTTCGCTTGAGAATATTAAATATTTTATGTATTAATATATAGTACATTTTTATGTAACATATTACCAATAAAAATGCGTAATAATACTGTACATATATATATACTAGATAAATTCTTTATATACAAATTCATTAAAATTTCTAAAAAATTAAACATATTTCACACAATTAAAGTTAGCTATAAAATGGGAATTTTTATTCTTTAATTTGAATAAATTATTATTCTCTAATAAATTATGATTTAAATGTAAGAATAAAATAATGATTGTACAGTTATGTTGGATAATAAAAATAATTTATCTATTGAACGTGGAAATCATTGAAATAAATAAAATTCTTTGTTTCCTAACTTGTCTAAATAAAATAGTATATAAATTTTGATAAATTTCATTAAAAATAAATAAATAAATAATAAAGAATAAATGATATAAATTTATCAAATTATGTACTAAAATCATACCCCTTTTATTTCATCTCTATTAATATTATCGTTATAAATTTAAAAATAATTTTTACTGAAATGTAATTTTTAACAGATACTTTAAGTAACAATTATTATTTATTTACTGTACATTCCTTTCTTCAACTTTTTTGTGATTTTTATGCGATTCATAAAAAAAATTGGAGTGATTTCTATAAAGGAATAAATGTCATTATAAACAAACATCTTAATAATATTATGATATATAATAAGATATATTATTTAAATGAAATTATTATTACGCAAAGACTGACTCTTAATTGCATTTGGTGAACTGCTTATTGATATTGAACGTTCATAGAATATTTGATAAAATAAAATAAATCTAATATTATTTTTGTTCTTAACTATTAATAACGATTATTGTGTTAATTTTCTGTGAATACCCAAATTTATTATTTCGAAAGATATAATTTATTGATTTTTTATTATTTAAGTAAAATAACTCATAGAATCAAATAATCAAATTATTGGACAAACTAGAATGAGAATAACAATAAAACCAAAGCAAGAAATAAAATAATTATGAAGTCATAAAGTAAATTTTTCCTTTAATATATAATACATTTATAAAAAAAATCTACATTCCTTACCATAAAAAAACAATATTTAGGTAAAAATTTTGAATTTGATTCGCTTAGTTATCAACATCATTATCTATTATTTAAAAAAACATTAGTTTATTTTAACATCATAAAAACAGATAAACTGAAGGTAATAAGTTACTATACTCACCTTTTAGTTTTAATGAGCTAGAAATCTCTAAGCCAACTAATTGAGAATCCTGACAACCTATTATAATAAATAAAATTATTCATTATCTTAATTATTTTTATAAAATTTGTACAAAATAACATAAAATTTAATACCTTCATTATCTTCTTCATTAAGATATGTGGTAGCAATAAAAGATGAATTAATGGGTTTTGACAAATTTTTAAATGTAAATGTTCTACTAGTATAAATAGCATCAGGTTTTTTTTCATATGAGGTTGAAATATTTGGTATTTCTTTATCAGCTTCTTCAAATACAGCTTTAACTTCTTCTCTTTTATATCCAAATTTTTCATCTTTACCTAAATCCGTCAAATAACTATTCCAACAAATTAATATTTCGCGTAATTCATTGGCTGTTGGTCTTTGATTTGGATTAGCATTCATACATCTATGAGCTAATTTCTTATAAATTTCAGGAGTTCCTTTTCCAAATTCTGGTCTGAGTCCATTACATATTTCTAATGCTAAGCCACCATCATGTTTTCTTTTATAAAAAGGAGGTTTTCCAGATGATAATTCAGCCATAACTACACCAAAGCTATAAATGTCAGAAGATAATGTATATGGTTCTCCATTTAAAACTTCTGGAGCAATATATGGCAACACACCAACTATTTTATTACTATCTGATGATTTCTGTTCATTTGATGGTCTAGATAATCCAAAATCTGAAATATAAGAAGTACCACCAATATTTAATATATTTCCACTATGAAAATCTTTATGAAAATATCCTAATTTATGTAAAATTTTAAGGTCATTTGCTGAAAAGTATAAATATCTAATTTTCTCTTCCCATAAAATTTTGTTAAAATTGCTTGAAAGAACATTTCTCAAATTTCCTTCCTTTGCATATTTCATAATCATCATAATTTCTTCAGTTTCTGGATCTTTAGTTATTCCATAAAATTTTAAAGAATCTGCTTGTAAGCAATTTAATTTCCAATGTGTTTTAAGCTATTATTATTCAAATTAAAATAAATTAAATAAATTTTAATATTTTTTTAAAATTAAAATAAGTACATGTCATGTGAAAATTACCTCATTTGAAAAATCAGCTGACATATTCTGTAATCCATTTAGCATTTTCAAGGCAACTTTCATGGATTCAGGTCCTTTTTTTATCCAATTTCCATCATCTTGTCTGATGTATTTTGCTGTACCATCAATCCAAGTTGCAGAATACACTTTTGCAAATCCACCTTCACCTATTTGTTTCATATCTTCAAATCTATCAAATGGAACCCATTCAAGAAATGATGGATACCATTTACTATCTTTACTATTATAAAATTTACTTGCATTATAAATCGAATCCTTGATAAGATTATCAATATCATCATTTCCACTGCTGGTCCATCCTTCAATTATGCAATGAGGAACACATTCTTTACACCAATATTTTTTATTATCTGGGTCATAACAATTTTCATGATTAATTTTTACAGGATTTGAATCTTTATCAGAAATATTTAATTTATCAAATTCAGATACTAATTGATTTTCATTAATAAAGCTCATTTTTATAATATAAATTCTGTTATAAGTAAGTAAGTTTGTTTCAAATTTGTGAAAAAGAATTCCACGATTATAAAAAAAAAAAAAATTGTGTTACCAAATACGTAATTTAATTTGGATATTCAATGAGAATAAAAAAGGAAATCATTTCAATCAAATTGGCATCGCAGTAATACAAATCGACAGGTGATTGTCATACTAATAAAGACGCTAGAGTATAATTTCAAGTCATAAAATTAACCTATTAATTTATTGATAAAGATAAGAAAGTTCAATTTGTTATAATATTATATTAACTTCAGGAAAAAATTATCTAGAATAACACAACTCGAAATATAAACTACATAATACAAAACTAATTTTGTTAAGCAGCAGCGTAGCATAAAATAGTGGTGTGAACGTCTTTCTGTAAGAAAAGTAGTTTCATTCTTACTATAATAATTGATGAATTTTTATTATAAAATAGACTCTATATTTATAATAAATTTTTAATATTATCAAATAGTAATTTTTATTTTCTATCGTACAAATTTATCATTTCAGATATTAACGGCAATAGTTATAGTACAATATATAAAATTTGTTAAATGTTACTCATATAAAAATATTCCCACTTATAATACAGTAATAAATTTCGAATAACACAACATTTTTAATAAACTTAGATTTTAATTTCTATAAAAACTAAAACAAAAATTCTAATAGATGAAATAGATAAAATTTTAGCTTTCACGATTTTTTTTTTCAAGTTATAAAAGTTATAAGAATATCAAAGATTTTGACATTCGTTTTTTTTTTAAGAACGTTAGTTATCAAAAAATCAAATAAATCATGAACTTATAACATAAATGTAACATTTTTAAATTATTTAAATTATTTAAACTTTAAAGTAAGGCTAAAAACTCATGATTCTATTCGTTTCAATTTTGATTTTTGTTATTCAAATGACATATTAATCAATTCATCAAAATACATATTTTGTAATTTATTTAATATCAATAAACTTTATCATAAGTTATCCACCTTAGAGCTTAAATTTAATTTCGTGATTAATTTGATATTTGGTTCTTTAATATATGTTAAGTATACGGTTAATTAACCAGTTATTATTAAAACAATTTTTTAGAAATTTTTTTGGTAGCAAATTGTACCGATTTTTGATTTTATTCACATATTTATCTGTTGGGAAGATTAATACTTTTAGCATATTAATGAAGGAATTAAAACTTTTAAGTTTGGGAAAGCTATATACTTAGTCTGACCATGATTTTGGTCTTAACCGATTAACCCTTAACCGGTTAACCAGAAAATAAGCTCATCCATAGTTATAAATACTATATCATGTGATTTTTATTATTATTATTATTAATGATTTCGTCTTTCGTTTTTTCGTAATTGATGTTATAGGTTTTTAAAAATCCGGAGCTTAATTTTGAAATAATTAACGTCAAACTTTTTATTTTTTTAATAATTTGGCAAATGAACTTAAGACTTTTGCTAGCTAAAAATTACTGACCACCGGAGAAAACTTTTTCATTTTTAATAGCAGATAACCACCTTGATTTATCGAGGCGATAGGAACTTCCTAACCATATAATCAAATTTTGCTGCGCCACGCACATGGACGAATCAATCGAATCATCGCGACATTGTATGAACTCACCGTCTTGTCCGTCTTGTCCTTTTATAGATTTATAATTTTTAAAATATTTATCTGTATATAAAATGTTTTGCAGAAAACGAATTATAAATCTTTATTCAAAAAAAAAAATCAAGGTTTTGACGGATTTTTTCAAAATTATTTGTTTTTTTTTGTTTAAAAAAAAAAAGGTATTAGAAAATAAGGTAAATAAAGATAATAAAAATAAAAATAAAAATAAAATATAATAAAAATTTTATTGGATAAAATGATACATAAATAATTTAAAAGAAAAATAATATTATAAGGTACAATTAAGTTACAATACTTAGAATTCCGAAAAAGTTCTCGACTTATTATTCTTGAACGTACCATAACGATAATACACATTAATTTAGCAGAAGTAATCGCCAGTTTTATGACAAATCTCACCGTACCGACATTTTTTACATAAATATCGTTTATGATGGCTGATCTCCTCCGCTTCCTTTAGATGTTCGTATTTCAATAGTCTATTTCCAGGCTGCTCGCATTTTTTGCAACTTTGCATGTAAAAATCATTTCGATTCAAATTCTCTACCGAAAATTTATCTATAAACTTATGGAGTTTTATCCAAGTATAAGAACTTGGCCAAGTTCTATAGCAATGATTTCTACACATCCACTCTCCAAACACTCTGTAATGATTATTCCATACTAAATGGCAAACGATCTCGACGGTTGGGGTTTGAGTTTGAATTTCTGTCAATCTTCCTGCTGGTAATGATGTTGATTCTAACGGTGAACAGATATCTACAGCAGGAATTGGAGCTAAACTTGGATTTTTACTTCCTTCACTCTCATCTTCCTGATTAAGATAAATTATAATTAATGAAAATTTGTGGAAACTAAAAAATAATTAAAAATTAATTTAACCTACATATAAAGCATTTTCCTGTGGTGTATACAATTGAAAACTTGAGATCTGACCACTTTTCCCGCATTCCTTACAGTCCTTTCTGAAAAACTCGTACTGTTCACTTGGTGATTTCTTTAGGTGTTTTTTGAGAAGTTCTTGAGTATATTTTTCACTTTTCAATTCATTTAAACATAGCCAATCACGTTTACATTCCCGTTCGGTTTTACATTTTTGAACATGTTGACATTGCCACTTGTTTTTATTTAGCCAATTATCTTTACATTTCGAATCGTGGTATTGTTTACATCTACAAAAATTTTTCTCACAATGTAATTCAATTCCATTTAGCCTTAAATCTTTACATTTCCAATCACGTTTCACCAAACATTTACACTCTTTGTTTCTACATTGGAACATACTCCATGGACCATTACACTTAGGTTCATGTTGGCATTGCCATTTATGTTGAGAATACCATTTGTATCGACAATTAAAACCCGATTTACATTGTAATTCGTGACGACATTTCCATAATCGACAAAGCCAATAACCATAAATTTGATACTTATTATTATCGATCAAATTACGGACGATTTCAGTAATCTATGTTACATTTTCGAAAGAGAGAATAAATACAGTACATTTGATTACTAATATATGAAATATAAAATGAAATAATACAAACCGAGCACAATTCCTCAAATTTGGATGATTTTTTCTTCAACAGATGAAAACTCGAGATTTGACATTTATTGCGACATTTTAAACACTTTTCCCAAAAAAAATCATTTGCTTTTTCCAAATAACTTTTAAAACTTTTCATCCCAACGTTAAAGGTTGTTTCTCGTTCATTCGAATATTCACATGATTGACACGCCCAAATGCCACACACTTTGTATCTACATCTACCATCACGGAATAGAAATTTTAGGTAATAGATGATTAGGTAAACCTACAATTAACAAATATTAAAAATTTTATGTTTTTTACATTTTTAAAAACTCCAAAAAAATTTATTAAATTTGACTTAACATTTTCATTCCCAAAATTTATAAAATATTCCGTCTGTGGTTCATAAAATAATGTACGTAAGGAAATCTATTGAATAATAAAATTATTAATTACCAAAATTGTTAATTAACGTTAGTTGTTACATAACACGAACATGCTTATCGTACATTAAAGATCGGACAAAGTTCGTTACAACTAAGACACAACATTAAAAAATTGTTTGGATTTTTCTCTAGATATTCTCTAAATGATTCCGGAGAATAAGTTTTTGTCTTTTTAATATTTGAGCATTGGCATAACCAGCTGACAACCGCATTATCATATTCGTTTTTCTGGGTTAAATCTTCTATGCTTTCGGTAACCTACGAGGAACAAAAAGTATGATTTAAATATTTTTTTTATATATTAAAATACGGTAAAAAAAAAAAAAAAATTTTTTTTGACCAACATTTTGTTCATTTATGAAATTTATAAAATATTCGTCTTTTTTCGTAAGAAGATTCTATTAAATTATCAAGACGTTTTAAGATTATCATAATTTGCTACTAACAAAAAAAAAATTTTTTATCCAAAACAAATATGATAATAAATTTGAACATACCATTTTATTCTCTTGTAAATATTTTATTTTTTTATATATATATATAAAATGTAAAATGTAAAATGGTTGTGAAGGAAATATAGGAATATAAACCACAAATCTAAAGATAAAAGGTCGCTTAAATACTTTTGCTGAGAAAAAGTATGATCAACAAAGCTTTTAACGCAGTAATTCGGAAATGACTGACTTCTTGACCATCTGACCATTTTATGATATATAGATACATTTGGTATTTACCATTTTTATAATTGGTAAAATCGAATATCGTTTTGAACTGACATTTGAATTCTTTGTAATTTTTTCATGTTTTTTTCATAAATTTTTGGTTAGTAGTTAAAATGATAATCCCAAATGAATAATAACAGAAAGACGATCTTTTATGAGATGAGCAAAGGTTATAATAACGAAAAGATGATCTTTTGTGAGATGGGCAAAGATTATTAATTTTTTTGAAAATTTAATTAAAATTTTCCTATATTTTTCTTTATATTAATGTTTTTGTTAAAAAAAAAAAAGTAACTACTTATGGTAAATGTATTAATTTCAATCGTATAAAATAATAATATAGTGTGATCTAAGAAATTATAATGATTTATTTAAGAAATATTTTCCGTTCATATAATGATTTCATTGCGTAATAGCGTAATACAGAGTCGAATGACGTTCAATTGTCATTTCAAGTAATTCGTAACATCACTGGTTTAATTCGATATTAACGAAAATTATAAATATTTTTTTTGGCAATGATAAACGAGAATTTTTTTTTATAAGGATCTTTATTAGGAAAAGAGATTGTTAAAGTCAATCGGTAGTTGGCCTGTTTAATTTATACTTGGTTAATAAAAATAAATTGACATAAATTACAAATGTAAAATAATTCAAAAGACTTCTAAAATTTCTTCAAATTTTCCTTACGACCTTTTTTTTCAAATCCATAAATTTTACATAATTTATAACAAAAAATTTCTATAAGATTTATTTTCTGCTACGGATATTACGAAAAAGAACTGTGATGGATGTAATTGTGATGCAATATAACAAATCACTAATACCATACAGTAAGCACTTATACTTTTTTGTAATTGCACCTAACACTATTCTTAAACCAGTTAAATTAATTATAAAACACGAAAAGCAGAAACTATTAACAGACAAGATAGATATACATTCTTATGTCGGGTTATCGATATTAATATCAAGTTTTTTTTAATTATTTTATAAATTTTGAATTTGATACATTTAGTTTTCATATAAAACTCAACGCTTTTTTCATTACGTAATATTTTTTTATTTTTATTTTATTTATTTTACTTTAAGAAGTGTGGTTATTCTAGCTAAACTATTTAATAGATACAGAAGCGGCTATACTGGCTATTAAAGAATGAGCTATAATACCTATCCCAAACAACAACGAATCGGGACCCACCTTTCAGAAAAAAAATTCTGCGGAACGGTGCATAATCCCCGCCCGACTTAATATTTTAGGGTTAGCAAAAATTTTACGTTACTCTTAATAAAAGTCATGTGATCTAATATTTGTAATTTAATTGGTTGTACTATACCTTACATATACAATAATACGACTAATATATAAAAACAAAAAAATGAAAAACAATATTTCTTAATAATAAACGAAAAAAAAATTTTTTTTATTTTTCTAATAATAAAATGAAAAAAATATTTCTTAAAACATTTTTATTTTCTTTTCTAAAAAAAAAAATTTTTAATTTTTTTGATAAAAAAAAATGTCCACTAGGCTTGGAGACAAAGTTCCACCGGCAAATTGTATATACTAGTTATTAATTGTATAAAATAATTGATAGAATTTTCAATATTATATTGGCGTATTGTAATTATATTGGTTTAATTAAATTGGTTAAAGTCACAAGTAGACTTACTTGGCTAAGACAGCAACGATATCTTATCCAAAAAATATTCAATGTACGGTCTATTCAATTTTTTTTGTCTCATAAGTTATAGCTCATATTTATACACTACAGCAGTGTTGGCACTTGGCCGATTGGCCAGGATTGGCCATTTGGCCGGCCAAACTGGCCAAAAAAATCTTTGGCCACGGCCAAATGCCAATACAGCCTTAATAAAGTATTAGTATTTTGTTATTTGGCCAAAATTTGCCCGGGGTTGGCCATTGACCGTTTTGCCATTTTGGCCGGCCAAATCGGCCAAAAAAATTCTTGGCCGCGGCCAAATGCCAACACTGCACTACAGCAACACCGAAGTTTCTAGATAAATTAATACCGCAATAACAATAATAATAAATTTGTATAGGACAACATACTATACATTCAAAAATCTTAAGGACATTTAAGTTTTCACACAATAAATAACAATTGGTTTTATTTTCTGGAAATCAAGATTCAAGAAAACTACGCATGGTTTGTTGTTATTATGTGGTGCAGGTGGACTGCTGATTTGTGTTGTTGAACTTATGATTACCGATCATGAATTTATTTATCATAACCTATGCTCGAATATAAATAAAGCTTCCAAAGAATCTTTAGAGTTACTACTTTTTTTTCTAAACAGTACAAATACGAGAAGAGCATAGTAATAAAAATATTTTAATATGTCTAAATTTTTATTCATTAATATTTGCAAACTTAAATATATAATTTGTCTTCTAAAATATTTATATTTAAATACATTTAAGTGAATAGGTACTGGCGATTAGCTACACCATTTTAATAATAAGGCGGATAAAGAGAATGATTGTCTCAAAGAGAACGGGACATAAATATTATAATCTAAATTATTTTGCGCAACATTAACTATTGGAGAGTTGTGACACATAGTGACAACCAAAACCATTTGCCTAGATATCTAACCATTTCTTCCGTTAATTTTAGTTCTATAATAAGATAAAATTAGTAGTTTAGCGGATTAAAAAATTTTATTTCATTTTCAGGAAATTATTAATACGATGTGCGAGAGGTAATTTGCATTCAGGTAAGTCAAATAAAACCTAATCCGACTCGTTGAAGCAGTAATAAGTTTTAATGTTATCGTCCTTATTATCTTTTACCTTTGTTAATTCCTTCTTGCATGACTCGTGTTGTCTCGAAGTGTAATACATTGACGTGTAAAAATTTTGTTTTAAACTATTATCTCTATAAACACTGCATATTTATCTAATAATTCTGGATTCACTAATACGATCAAAAGATCTCGAAGAAACTTGAGGTGCGGAATTTTCATGCAGATTCCCAGTAAAGATCAAATGACAGGAAATTTGTCATTTATACTGCTATATAATTCAGGACAAACTTATGATGCAGGCAAAATTACAAATTTATATTATCACGTAATTGACCGACCGTAATTGGGTCGCACCTTTTAAAAACGGCTGTATATTATGAATTTTCTTACATAGATTATTGTCCAATTATTTATCAATTTCGTGCCATTAAAACTTATTTACAATAAATGAATGTGTTAATACTCTAATTTTAAAATGATTTTTAGTTTATACAAGTTCACGTAAATTTTCTTAAGAAATTTACAAAAGCTTCCGCATATTTTCACAAATTTACCTAAGTTTACATTCCCGTCGCATTGTTACACCTATATTTTTTAGTGACATGATATACGTCCTTAACTTTCGTACTAATAAATAAAATGAATCATAGCTCGTGATTAAAATAAAAAAATTGTTTATTACGCTACGTATCAGTCAAATTTCAAAATGTTATAAAATTGTGTAAAAAGGAGCGTTAGAAATTCCTTCTTTTTGGTAAATGGATTTTATTTGAATATTTAACAATAAATTCGTTGAGTTACCAATAAAATATAAGAATTTAAGGATAATCAAAAAAATTTAATAACTATTGTATCACTAACATTAATGTACAAAAGGGTCGATTAAAGAATTATAAGGAAAGAAAGTAAGAAAAAAAAAAAAGAAAATGCGATTATGAAAGCGTAATATTACACGATTTCTAACAATCACACTTAATTTCGCTTAATTCCTCCCTACTTGATTTGTTAGAACTTTCAAGCAATTCTTCATGATTTTTTAAATAAGCTTTGATATTACCTATGTTGGAGGAATTTCTTCCGATGTCATCTTTATCTTCTTCCGATAATATTTGGTATATTCCACAACCTTCCATATCATCTTCAAAATTTTGGAATAATTTCGTGACTTTTTGTTTGACATTCGTTAGTGTCGATCTAATTAAGCTATGATCATCAGTTTCGTTATTATCATTCGAGTTAAATTTTTCATCTTCTTCAGTTTCGGGATTCAAGCTATTATCATTCGAGTTAAATTTTCCATCTTTTTCAGTTTTGGGATTCTTCGATATAAATTTTTCATAATTCGAATAAATTATTTGCGAGAGATTCGAATTAATTTCATCCTTAAGATTCGAACCAATATTCTTTTCGAGTCTTTTGGTTATTGCTTTTTTGAATTGTGAATTAACATTTTTGTAACCCGATAAAACTTTTTCTTGTTTCACTTCTTTTTCAATATCATCTAGCTCCTTATCAATCATGTGCTCTGAAATGAGCTTTTGTTTGAGTTTTTCAGTGATTTGAAGTATGCATGTTGAAGTAATATTGATATTTTTTCTAACCCACGCTCGGCTCCCTTTTTTATGTTTCTTGCAATTGTCTTCCATCTTGTTTTTTCTTATTTTTTCTATTTCTTTTGAGTCACATTTTCTTTTTTCGTCAACTTGAATCATAGCTACTTCTACGTTGACCAAGTTATCAATACTCATTTTGAACATTCGGTGAAGGTTAATATAATGTGAAAAAAAAGTATGCACATCCTTTCCTACATAATGCCTAACAATTGACACACAAGCAGATATTGGAAGACCTGAAGAAATTTTATACAAGTAGTAATTTTCATCCGAAAGAAGAATTCCAAACACAACTCCAGGCGTCAAACTAAGGACAACAAACCAAATAAAGCGAATAAGAGATAAATATTTTAATGGAAAGTACATATTCTTTTTTTTAAAAGCGTAACCCAAACCAAAATCTATTAAACAAATGAAGATGGAGAACCACACAATATAAAGTCTTATATAATAAGAAATTTTACAACCAATAACATTGGACTTGGTTAAACAAAATGAATTAATATATTCAGGGGACTCAAAAGGTGAAACAATTTTTTTTGATGGATCATCATGGACTTCAACTGAAAGGGGAAGGTAGAAGATATATATAGTTATATAAAAAGGGAATAGCGAAGAATGTCTAACAAACCATCTAAGGAAAGCTCTGAAAAACTTGTATGTTTTATTTTTTTCGTTTTCATAGTTACTTTTAGGCGGCGGTGTGTAATGAAATTGATACAAAAGATAAACTAATATCAACCCCAATATGGTTATAAACAAACCCCAAAATAGATGATCCGTTAAAAAAAATCGTAAAACAGTAGGTAATAAAATTGATAAAAATATAAAAGTGTCATCAAAAAATTCATAGAATTGACCTTTTCCGTTTACAAGAAATATAGTAAGAATAGTTACAGCTTGAACAAAATAATTATCGAACACTTGTTTTCCATAATTTATATCCATTTTTTTTTTTAGAAAGGACAAATTAATTAAAGGGACAAATAATTATAATTTTTTTTATTTTTTTTTTTTTGGCGAGAATACGAAGAATGCATCTTTTTATATATTCGAATCCGGATATAGTTTGAAAAATTCTTATTATCTGTAGTAGGTAGGTGCAACAAACACGAATGAACAAAATTACTTTTTTAATAACGCTAATGGGAAATCTGACAAATCTGACGAATCTGTGTAATGTTTACAATGTTATTTATCGATCAAGTGAAATAATTGTTGTAGGACAACATTTCAAACTTATCACAAGTTTCTATTCATCCAAAGTTTTATTCTTTTCATTACCATTATCGAAATTGATAATTAGAAATCACATAGTACAAACTACTCATTTTAGAAAATATAAATAGAGAATCTATAAGGCAGCTCAAAGACGATCGTCTACCGTTAATTTAGTAGCCAGAAACCTGTAAAATTAAAATATTTGATTTACACATGTTTTAATGATGCTTTTAAATATATCAAGTATTAAAAGTAATTTACTTATTAAAAAAAAAAGACAGGAATTCTCAGTTAATTAACAAGTATACAAAAAAATGTGAGAATATTTTATCAAGTTGATAATAACGAGAACAAACAAATAATACGCCAAACTTGCGGGATGTTTTTTTTTTATTTTTAAATCGTATACAAATTCTGAAGTTTTATTATTGTAATATTTTCCTATCTTGTATCAAAATTCAAAAAATAAATTTTTTGAAAACAGCAAATTTTGTGATAAATTATGTGACAAGTTTCCTATAATCAAAATTCGTATACTAATTAGTTATACAGTAATTGTTACACTATCGTAAAAAATCATTTGCGGTTAACTGCGAATTCGGTCGTTTCAATAAGGAATATACAGTATGAAAATTTGATTTGTCGATCATCCGTTATCTGGGTCCTGAACCCTGATGCAAGAACACGATTGTTTATCTTATTACGAAGCGCCAATAACGAAGTACAACAAACAAACATTAACCTTACCAATTTTAGAACTTACAAAAATTAAAAAGTTTTTTTTTAATTATATCAGATTTATCATACAAATTTTCAGTTTTCCAATAAATATACGTGTTTTTTTTTAAAAAAAAAAAAAAAATTGTAAAAAATGATTAATTTGTTTAATTGGACTACTTTCCACTATACTATAAGAGTTAAACACAATAGAACATAATAAGTTAACGGATACATGTCCGATATATTGTAATATAATTTATAATAGTAAATAATTTGTACAATTCAAATAAACACAAAAACTTGTTCCGAAGTTTCAAATTTAAGAATTTTGGAACGTAAAATCTATAATTTTTTTTTTTATAAAATTTACCTAATAAAGAAAATCACTTCTTTAATAGAAATTCATAAAAATCTGATTGATGTACAGTATATCAAGTCATTTAGTCAATTCCTATTCGGATCGACAATGTGCGTCAGATATGATTTAGAGTCTTACCAAAAGCGGTACGTACAATAATTCGATTCCCCGAAATGACTAAATAATTGTAAAAATTCTATTATTCAAAGATTCGAAAACTGTGATACATTTACATTTTACATAGATAAGCAAATGTATTTTTAATTCTATGCATAAAAAAAAGTAACAATAGAATTTTTAAGTGTTATAAAATATTTTTTTCTTCCGTATCAGTAAATAAATCAAATGCCAATTTTAGCACATATGAAATTGAAAAAGTTAACTACACTAAATCGGCAAATAGTAAATGCATGATAATAAAAAAAAAATAAATGAATAATTTTGAAAAATCGATTAAAGTTCCGATTAATAAGGATCTATATTGCAAACAAATAATTATTAATTATATATCAAAGATATAAATACTGTTACGATGTGACGAAATCACGTGATATAACTGTTGATCGATGGTAATTTATCGGGACGATTAATATTAATCAACGTCATATAACGGGAGGATCAATGTTCGAAATGTTTGATATATCAAATATATCAAATATATTAGCTATATTGCACATATTAAATATATCGCACATATTAAACATATCAAACATTTTAAACATTTTTAGCTTAGTGTTTTTACATATAAATAGATGCGTTATTTTTCGATGTATTTAAGATAGGTATCCAGTCAATAAGATATTTACCGATATTAAATAAAAACACTTTTTATTATTTATATCTTTGGTTATCTCGTTGTTAATTATTGTCATATACACCTAACCTATTGATTTTTATTGTTGTGTCTGATCGTATTTGCCATTTGGGAGTGCAATACTTTATTCACATCTGATCGGATTTGAAGTAAATTTGGTCAATTGATATTATTTTGTTTATTAACCTTGCATTAATTATCGTCATATTACTTATACCTATATACCTTCTGCTTACCCTAAATAATCTTTTGTTTATATTAATAAACAATAAAAGAACTGATATTAACAATACTAGTTCATTCTTGGTGGCGCAGCAAAATTTATAGGGCTTAGGATTAGTGTTGTTAGGAATAGGGTTATTAGGAAAGTTAGAGAATTTTACTCATTTTATAAGATCATCATCATTTTCATATATTTTGAATTGGTTTCAAAAAAAAACTCGATAAATTGCGGCAGTCATTTACTAGTATTAAAAATGAAAATCTTTGATAGTTTAGTAATTTGATCTAAGTGCGTTTCATTTGCCAAATTATCAAAAAATTATTCTTTTTAAAAAAAAAGTTTTAATTATTTTTCCGAACTTTTTAAATATTTTTAAAAAATGATTTAAAAAAGTCATACAATATTGTATTACTTATATCTTGTCATGACTATGAAATAATATGAATGCCATGACATTTTTTGTATTATGTGTTAACCGCAGTTTTAAATCAGAAAATAAAAAAAATTTTATTTTTAGTCTAAAGTTTAATGAAGGACTATATACTTCTACGTTTGATGACGCCATGTCGGATGTCCGATCCCAGAAACTGAACCTATGTTTCCCTATGAAAAAAAATCATCCAATTTTTGTATGATATTTGTTCAAGTCCGTGTGGAAATTGTACAATTATTGCAGATTTTTGGATAAAAATAGCTATGAAGTTTTTCAAAGCATATTAAAAGTATGCAATTTTTGTACAACTTAAATTTAAGATATAGAAAATGTTCAATTTTTGTGTGATTTTTATACAACTTAAATTTAGGATACAGAAAACATTCAATTTTTGTACAATAAAAATTGTGATTATTGTACAACTTGAAAATAGACTTAAATTTAGGATACAGAAAGCAATTTTTGGGTAATCCTACTATACTACTTTCCATCTTACCTGTATGGTTACATTTGACCACTTTTAGGGTCGAATAGACCACTTTTAACCATTACAAATAGATTTTCCTAAGTAAAGTGATTTATGCAGTAAGGTTACATAAAATTCAACTGCATATTTGCTTATAAATGGGCATCTTCTGGACCCATTGGTGAAATTTTTGTATCATCTTGTAACTAAAAAAAAGTCAAAAACTTTTTATTAGGTTACACAATTAGTTCTGACCGGAATTATAATTTGGCCAGAATTATGCGGTAAAAATCAACTCTTAAAATTATTTATGTTGATCACGTGATCTGATCGTCAAAATAAATATGACGACGCGAAATGTTTTTGTTTATGTTTTTTTAACCTTTTAACTTTTCTTCAACTTTCTTTTAAAATATCAGGTAAGAAAAACTTGTGTTCTTTATCTTTTTATTTTCCTAACTTTTTACATTTTAATGTTACTAACTTGCTTTCTTCACTAACTTCATACTTCTTTTTTATTACTAATACTAATAATTTACTTTTTAACACTACTAATTTGCTTTCTTCACTAACTTCATACTTTTTTATTACTAACACTAATAATTTACTTTTTAACACTACTAATTTGCTTTCTTCACTAACTTCATACTTTTTTATTTAATACTAATAATTTACTTACACTAATAATTTACTTTCTTCTTTGATACTACTAATTTACTTTCATGTTACTAACATACTTTATTTTATTTTATTTTCTTACAAATTTTTATATTTATGATTATATCAAATTTAGTATTTTATTTATGAAATATTGTGTATATTTTTTATATTTTAAGTCAATAAAAATTCATAATTTCACTTTATAAATTGCCTGTTATTACTGTAAAATTTAACCTATAATTCCTAAAATATGGCCTAAAATTTGGCTCAAAAATCACACAATAATTGTATAAATTCAGGTCAAAAATAGGATAATTATTGAATGAATTACCATGCAATAATTGTGTGATTTATTGCAATTTTTAGCACAATTATTGTATGGTCAAATATACAGAAATCGTAGTGAATTTAATTGAATGATTTTTCAACAAAAATCACACAGACTTTTTTCATAGGGTTTCTTATATACCAGATTTTGTAATTTAACCACTACTTTTCAGTGATGTCATTTGGCCATTTTGAAATGAACCCTGAATGACCTTCGAATGACCTAGTCATTCGGGTCATTTGTCATTTGAGTCATTTATTATTAATTCAGGCCAAATTTATGATGCCAGCTATAATTACAAATTCATATTATCACGTGATATAATTTTTATCCTGAAATTACATAGCTAATTTTGGCCAGAATTATGATGGTCATTTGTCATTTAATGCTGACCCTAGCGTCGCCTCCAAAAAATGGCAACCGGATCACTTTGCCGGATTACATATATTATTATGGTATGACAATTAATGGGCGACAATTAGAGTTTTGCATATAAAAAAAATTCATAAGTCCACAGAATAATTATAAAATTGAAGAACAGCTAGGAAGTGACACTACGTGACAACCTAATCCCCTTACCCAAAATCTAAAGAACCGGCTACCATGACCCAAATGACACGTGACCAGTGTTTTGAGTACTTCGGACTTAATAACGTGATAACGATTTCCGTTTTCCTAGTTTATTTTACTTTTACCATCTAATAATCTAGGTACCAAGGTTAGCAATTATAGTTCATGACCACTGTGATGGCTCTAGCTGCTCACATATTTTGATTTCATCAATTCTTGTGTTAAGTCCAAAAATAGAGTATCAAGAGTTTCAGCTTTAGGTAGTTGAAATGGCCCGGAAGATGTTCTGATGGTCTTAATGCAGTCTCAACACAATGACCGGCGAAATACTTTTACACATCGCTGAATATCTACCACACGGTCGTCGTTTCACTGATGTGAGTAATGATTATCCAGGTGGCGACCCAAATTATTTTACTACAGAAAAAGTACTAAAAGAAATGCGATCTGTAGGCATTTACTACTTTTTTTTTTTTGAAAAGATTATTAAACATAAAGATTATGGAACATACTGGAAGATGACCAAAGAATTTCAAAGCATAGTAATTGGAGAGTAACCGGTATTTGATTTCAAGAGCATTCAGAATATAGGGTTGGTAGAAAATTTTTTAATGCTACTTGTTCGACTATCAACACTTTTATCATATCGAGGGAATAATTTTTTTGATTTACTAGTTATTAGTCATTGAATTAAAGATTAAAAAATTTGGATACATTTTTTTTATATATGTAAAATTTTTTTTTTATTTTTATTTTATTATATAGACTCGTGAATGTAAAATTTTTTCATATTTGAAATTTTTTTACGCACATTGGCCAAAAAAATCATGTGATAAAATTTTTTTTATTATAAAAAAAAAATTTCCATTTTTCGAAAAACTGACCCGGATCACGAGAATCTAATTTTTTTTTTTTTTTCCCGGCCTAACATCAAATATAACAAGTTTACCAGACATATAAAATAAAATTCACGTATTAACTATAATTGCTTTAAATAATGAATTATAAAGTTATTATATTATAATGAAAACTTTAAATATTTTTTCTTCTTTTATTACAGATCTTTTTTAAAATGGTTTAATTTCTTTACAAAATAATTTAAAAAGTATGATTAAAATTTTTTAGTAGTAATAATTATTTGATAACCCTGCAGTGGCACAATGACAGCCAATCAATCAACACCAAATAACTCCATAATTAATATATGGCAAAATTTATAAACTATTTTGTATTTGATTTTAATTTGCTTTCTCTTTAAGCATATATTAATTTATTTTATTCTATTTTTTCTTTAAGGGATTTTTTTTTTGGTTTTAACGTTTAAGTACACAATTTTTAAATTCTCAATTTTCTCTAATATTTTCTTTCTTTTATATTTAGAAGTATTAATCCAACTGATATTAAAATTTAACATATTATCTTAACAATAAAAAAAAATTAAATTTGCGTTTGATCATGACAAAAATGTTATGGTTTCCATAATATAAATTTCCGCAATGTATTATTATTACTACAATGCTATTATTTTCCTGAAAGTCCTACATAGCATATTTTATCGTTGTATAAATGAATAGCACGGATTAAACCGATATCCTCTTGTTGACTTTTACTATTAAATACAAGATATCATAGCATCAAAATTTTCTATTGTAAGTTAAGGAGCATCTGATGATCAGATTTTCGTGATGCACACTAAAGATTGATTCAAAAATCGATTCTTAGACTCATTTGCAAATTATATAAAAAGGAGAGGCCTTGATTAATGAATTCTTTTATCCGCCATTGTGCAAGTAAACAAAATAAAATGAAAAATCAAAACTTGCCTTTGCATCATCAAATACTCAACGATCAAGATCGTTAAACAAGATAGATCAATCAAAGTCAGTAAACATGGAAATGCTTGATCATGTACCTATTTCTTTTACGTTAATCCTGTTTTTCTGTTTAAATGGAATACTGTGAAAATGAAATGTAATGGTAAAAATTAACAGTGATATTGTTACTTTTTTACTACATATTGCTCATAAGAATAACATCACATGCAGTTGCAATATTGAAATTTTCCAATTTTTATCACACATGCCCATAAATTGTTTAAAGTTTAATGTTTCTCTACCATAGATGAAATGTTCATAAAGCATTTGTTGTGCAACTGATGCTTTACTAGCGGATGTATCTTCACTTGATGCATCAGTAAATATATTAAATGTAACATTGATGGATAACATTCGTAAAATTTCATCTCAGATGTTCCTTGCAATACTGTTCTAACAAAGTCGTAAGTTCTTGAAGTAGAGCTGCGACCCGTCAGAATTTCTGTATCCGGATCATACTCAAATCAAAAAATGTGTTACCCGACTCCAAAACGGGTATTACCCGTTTATACCCGTTTATCTTTTTGTTAGATATGACCCGAGTATACCCGGGTATTACCTGGATAAAAACCTGGTTTTTTCTCTATAAATCTATAAATTAAAATAATTATCAAATATATAAAACAAAATAAAAAAATCTTTTACGATAAGCATTGCTAAAACTCACCAGTGGGAAACATTTAATTCTAGCCGAAAATTACAATTTTAGCCAGAATTAATAAAATGGGATAAAAGTTATTTTTTGTGGTAACTTTCTCGTTCAAATATTAAAACTTGTAACCGTACTTATTAGTGACGATCACTAAGTGATTTATAAACATTAATTCTGGCCGGCATTAAAATTCTGGCCTGAGTTAACATCTCAATTCTGGCAAAATTTATGGGACAATTACCCGAGTAATACCCGGGTATACATATGTCAACGATAAAACGGATACAAAATGGGTATTACCCGTTTTTACCCGTTTGCTATTCCATAACCCGGATACAATACCCGGATTGTATCCGGGTAAATGGGTAACGGGTCGCAGCTCTATCTTGAAGGAATCAACGTTCCCTGTGAATATTATGAAGTTGTTTATTGAATCTCCGTTTCTTTGCAAGTTCAATTCTTTGCTTGATTCCATTCTGATCGTCATATTTTGAGTGTTTCATCTCGTCCTTGTAAAGGAAAATTGATACCAAAGGAACTTAAAGTTAGCACGTGACCAGAAACCAAAGGAAACAGGTAAAAAACAAAAACATACTCTGGGTGCTGAAACTTCATTGGAATGTTGCTAATGATATTTTCAGCATTTCTTTAACGGATATTATCCTTTCCTTCCTATCCGTCGTGATTTTCATGTTAAAATTGATAAATTAACCGTTGCAGGATTCAAGGAAGCTCTCTCTGAAAAAAAGTGGAATGGAAAGTTCCATGAATTAATAACATTTCTACCAAAGATGCTATTGAAAATCATGACACGAGGAGAAGGTGAATGATAATCCTATGTTGAGTTTTAATAAATATTATAAAAAAAGCCTAAGGAGGAGTATCTTGATACCCACGACCCCATCCCACCCACTGGTAAGTGTCTCCCAATGTTTTACCTCTCAAAAAAGAAATTTGCGATGAAAAAATTATTGAGTTTGATCTAATATCATTTTTTTTCGCATTAAAGCAGCTTCATGAGGCGGCAATGAGTATTGTTTTAAGTTCTGTATATCCTAAGTCCTAATCCACCACTGTTGACACATATAGATGCGTTTGATAATTGGATAAAACCTTGGAGATGATATTATATTCCTGTAAAAGAGACTATAAAAAAGAGATTATTAAAGTTTCAAAAAAATTTGAGAAAGTTTAAGAGTACATATACTTTATATAACTTCCGTGACTATAGACTCTTGATAGATTCTTACATAAACTTTTGGTAGTTTCTTGTGACGTAATACAGCAAATAATATAGATGATTCGACAAAAATTGGTAAAGCATAGTAAAAAAAGCAAATTTATCAGAGTTTAAACATTACGCGCCGTGTGTTGTACATCCTACTAGAGTTTAGGAGTTATGCATTTGCATGTGGTATTGTGATAGCGTTACACTTAACTACATTGTTAAGTATTAAAAAAGGTGAAATAATGTTACGTTTTTGGTCGTACGAGTGGTCATACCATCACATTATGAATGAAACAAGTGTAAATATACTTATTAAATTTATTTGTATAAACTTAATAACCATATTTTGATTATTAAATACTTAAAGAATTATTTGTTTCTTTATAAAAAATTAATTATAAAATAAAATCAATTCATTATTAAAACTAACAAGAAAATATAATAAACATTACAAAGCTTGTTACTGTTGTTATTATTGTTATTATTTCTATATTATATTATTATTACTATATTGTGTTAGTTCAGAAATATATATATATATTGTCCGAAATTTGTTATATTTCAGTCGATTTGTCTAGTGCTCCTACCGGGTCGGATTCGGTCGGGTTTGGAGAATATATCCGACTCGACCCGGCAAAAATAGAAATGATCCGATTTTAACCCGACCCGAGTATATTTAATTCGAATAACCCGGGTTATACCCGAAATTTTTTTTTTTTTTTTTTCTGTATGCTTAGTAATATATCAAAAATATTTTTTCAAATATAATTTTTCAAGGTAATTGATCTACAAGATGATCATATAGGTCACACAACTTTTTGTTATTAAAACTAAAGCTAAGCACGAATTTAAAGATATCTTAAATTCCTTTTTATTTATTGCTTTATATTTGAACTATAAAATCGAAATTATATCACTTGCTTTAACAGAAATTTGACTATACTTTACGTCTGCCAGGACTTTAAACACATGCATGCTATAATTGTATCTGCTTTAAGATTACATCTTTTTGCAGCTATCAAATCGGTTCCACCGGAAACTACTGGAATGCTGGTTGCTTTATTAATCATCAAAATCAACTTATTAGTTAATGTAATGTTAATAATTAAAATAATAATTCATACACATACCCGTAATTGCAAGGTGTCTCTAGCAATTTTCGCTAAGTGAGCACATTCATCTAACAAAATTATATAAACATAATCAATATTAACGCGTAATTGATATGTGATTAGTGATTTTAATGATCATCCGGGTCTAATTCGGGTCAAAACTCGAGTCAAGGAAATGAATGACCCGACCCGATTGGTCGGGTCATGCGGGTCACGGGTTATTAAAATTGTTAGTACCGACCCGATTTAAAATTCACTCGGGTTGAATTATCCGGGTTAGACCCGAATTTTGCGGAGCACTAGATTTGTCAAAAATACTTTCAACGTTATCCCAACATTCACTTTAAAAAATTGGACATTCTGTATTAAAAAATTTCTTTCGGACAATTCCGGGAATATTCAGGGAGCTTTTGTGACTCTCCTTTTCCACAAGTCATATTGTGGTTCTGCGTCACGTTTATTCTCATTCAATGCATCTGAATATTATAATAAAAAATTCCAATTTAATAGTTAATATAAAAAAGAGAAATCTTTTACATAAATAATCATTCATTACTAACCCGCTAAAATAATAATATAGACAAAAATAAATAACAATGAGTATTTTAATTTCACAGTTGATTTTATGATTTTATGTATGCTATATAAAACTTTAATTCGTTGTTAATTTTTTTTTTTTTAAAAAGAAATT